GGGGTCGCCGCGCCGCGCGGGGAAGGCTCCGGGCCTCATGTACGTACTCAGGCAGAGCGACTGGTATCTGGGATGGGCTGCAAGAAATTCTTCATTTGGCCTGTTTTTGTCTGGATCCTGATGTCCGCCAGCCTTTTTCCATTCATTTCCAAATGCTTTTCGGTAATCAAGCTCAGCCCCACGCCTTTCCTCTGGTAGAATCTATATTAATGTGAATAAAAACAGGCCTGTTAAGGTGGGGTTTTTTTTAATGTTTATTTTCGAGAGCTCATAAACAAGGGGGAGGGGCAGAGAGAGAGGGAGGCACAGAATCTGAAAACCGGCCCCAGGCTCCAAGCTGTCAGCACAGAGCCCGACGCGGGGCTCAAACTCATGACCCAGGAGATCGTGACCTGAGCCGAAAGAAGCCGGATCCGCTGAGCCCACCAACTGAACCGCCAGGCGCCCCCGTTAAAGTGTTCTTCTAGTGAGTGTTTGCATTTTGTACCCTGTCTTTCCTCCACTCTTCACACACACAGAATAATCACATCGAGAGGGACGACGCTTCGTATGGCTTTACCTTTCCTCGCTAACAGAATTCAAGAATTCAAGAGTTTACTGAAGAAGAAAAACCAGTTTCGGTCTTACGCTTTTCTTCATGAGAGTATTTGTCCACCTGCCGGCGTGTGGGCTGCGGCAGGTGCCCTGGGCCCCTGGGGGCGCTGACACCACAGGCGAACGGCCCCACCTGGGCGATCGGCTGAGGAGAGGACAGGCTCTGCGGTTCTGTGTCCCGTCTGCCTCTGCCCCCCAAGGAAAAGGAGCAAGTGCCCAGAATCCCTCGCCCCTCCTCAAGGGGCAGCTAGGCAACTTCTGTCCTCACCCGAGTAACGCCGCCTCCTGAGGAGTCGGAAAGAAAGACTTCTTAGTACCGCACAAGGGTAGTATTTTACCATATGGGGGAAAGGCTACATCTGAACCCTTTACAAGATTCAGGGGCGCCCGGGTGGCTCAGTCGGTTAAGCGTCCGACTCTTGATCTTGGCTCCGGTCCTGATCCCATGGTTTGTGAGGTCCAGCCCCGTACAGGACTCTGTGCTGACAGCGTGCAGCCTCCTTGGGATCCCTCTCTCCTTCTCTCTGCCCTTCTCTCATTCACGCACTCACATGCACTCTCTCAACCAACCAACCATAAAATACCTCCTCGTGATACTAAGCGCCCACCTCACATTTGTTCAGGGTCTTCAGCTGACCGATTTTGGCGATGATGAACTGGCGTGTGGTCTGTGGTCCGCTGCCTCCTTCCGTCAGGGGGTTTCTTACACAGGACAGAGCACGCAGACTCTGTAACTTATCCAGCTCATTGATAAATGACCACTGAAACCCAACGGAAAAAATACGTGAATCTAAGCATGTTTCAGGCTACTTTCCTAGATGACTTGAACTAGCCAGAGAAAAGCATGAATCTCTAGTTCCAATCGGGGGCACTGGATCTCGTCATGCGCCAAGCACCCACTAAGATGACCGTGCGCTTTTACTCTAGAACTGTGCCGTGTAAAATGACCGTCTGCTGACGGGTGAATTAAACTAATTTCTCTGTTAATATTTTTGGGTTTTCTGAGGAGTTTCACCCTGAGGAAGCACTTCTCTTTCGATCTAAAGTATCTTTTGACTACAGCAAAATATAAAGTTTCTGCAGAGCAAGGGAAACCATCAACAAAACTAAAAGGCAACCTACAGAATGGGAGATCATCGCAAATGACATATCCAATAAAGGCTGAGTCCAGAATATGTAAAGAACTTGTAAAACTGAACGCCCAAAAGACAAATACAGTAAAACCTTGGATTGTAACTTGTCCTGCGAATGTTCCGCAAGATGAGCAAACTTTTCTGATAAATTTAACGTGATAAACGAGCAATGTCTTGCAATACAAGTACTACGTGAGGCCGAATGTCACATGATCACAACTGAGCCAGTGGTTCTTGAAATTCGCTTTGATATATACAAGTGCTTTAGAGTATAGCTTGCCTCCGGAACAAATTATGCTCATAAACCAGGGTTTTACTGTGATTCGATTAAAAATGGGCAAAAGCGGGGCGCCTGGGTGGCGCAGTCGGTTAAGCGTCCGACTTCAGCCAGGTCACGATCTCGCGGTCCGTGAGTTCAAGCCCCGCGTCGGGCTCTGGGCTGATGGCTCAGAGCCTGGAGCCTGTTTCCGATTCTGTGTCTCCCTCTCTCTCTGCCCCTCCCCCGTTCATGCTCTGTCTCTCTCTGTCCCAAAAATAAATAAACGTTGAAAAAAAAAAAATTTAAAAATGGGCAAAAGAAATGAACACATTTCTCCAAAGAACACATCCAGATGGCCAACAGATACAAGCAAAGATACTCAACGTCACTCATCATCAGGGAAATGCAAATCCAAACTACAATGAGGTATCATCTCACACCTGTCAGAAGGGCTAGTATCAAAAACACAAGAAGCAACAAGTGTTGGTGAGGATGTGGAGAAAAAGGAACCCTTGTGCACTGCTGGTGGGAATGCAAACTGGTGCAGCCACTGTGGAAAACGGTACGGAGGTTCCTCAAAAAGTTAAAAACAGGGGGCGCCTGGGTGGCGCAGTCGGTTGGGCGTCCGACTTCAGCCAGGTCGCGATCTCGCGGTCCGTGAGTTCGAGCCCCGCGTCAGGCTCTGGGCTGATGGCTCAGAGCCTGGAGCCTGTTTCCGATTCTGTGTCTCCCTCTCTCTCTGCCCCTCCCCCATTCATGCTCTGTCTGTGTCCCAAAAAATAAATAAAAAACGTTGAAAAAAAAAAAATTAAAAAAAAAAAAAAAGTTAAAAACAGAACTCCCTACAATCCAGTAATCGCATTACTGGGTCTTTACCCCCAAAATACAAAGACACTAGCTTTGGGATACATGCACCCCTATGTTTATTGCAGCGTCGTTTACAAGAGCCAAATCATGGAAGCAGCCCAAGTGTCCATCAATAGGTGGCTGGATAAAGAAGACGTGGTATGTGTGTGTATGTGTGTGTATACACACACACATACACACACACACACACACACACACACACACACACACACACACATATATAGTAAAATATTACTCAACCCTCAAAAAGAATAAAATCTTGCCATTTCCAACAACATGGATGGAGCGAGAAAGTATTATGTTACATGAAATAAGTCAAAGACAAATACCGTATGATTTCACTCATGTGGGATTTAAGAAACAAATGAACAAAAGGAAAACACAAGAGAGCGAGACAAACTAAGAAACAGAATTTTAACTCTAGAGAACAAACTGATGGTCACCAGAGGGGAAGGGGATGGGGGTGAAATAGGTATCACGATGAGCACTGGGTCCTGTGGGGAGGTGTTGAATCCCTGTATTGTACACCCGAGACTAATAGGACACTGCATGTTAACTCTACTAGAATTAAAGTTAAACACTTTAATAAAGAATAGTCTTAAAGTAAAATATTTTTTAATAGAAGGAACCTGCAAACTCCATCATAAGAGTGGAAGTGAGGATACAGTATGCACATTGTGAAGAAGCTCTTACTTGTGAGATCTGATTGTCATTTACTACAAGGTACTGCAAGGAAGGAAACATTGATGTTTTGCACCCTGGAAAAAAGGAGAATTAAGTTACACGGCAGAAGCGAAAGAGCAGAAGTATGGGCTATCGGGCGGGGGGAGTAGAGTTAATCTCAAATACCAGTTCCTGCATCCGGAAAATGTATAGAAGAAATTCCGACGTCAGAAAGGATTAGTTGTTCTAATCTGAAAGTTAAAATGTTAAATTTGATTACAAGGAACAATATAAAATGCTACAGGCGGTCAACCAGACTAGATTTGCAATGCTCTTCCCCCACCCTAGCTTTTGTGCCCCATGGAATGCTTAGAAACCACAGAGTCTGGTTTGGGGTGCGCCGAGAGGACTGTTCACGCTACGTTGTGAGGGCTCCCCAGTCACCTAACTGCTCCTGGTGCCCGCGGCGGTGCCACGTGTTAACGGGTCTCCAAGAGCAAACAGACATGATCTGACTTCCGTAAGTTTAATGAATGAAGACTTCTGACATTAGCACCAGGCCGAATTACCCTTTCCTCAATGACCTAGTACAGACACAAACTGCGCGCTATGTGGTCTGCAAACACCTCCTCTACATAAATTCAGAGAAAAGTTTCCCAAAGGGGATTCGTGTGTGAATTCCATCTGAGCAAGTACACACAGCCTACGATCCATTCACTAAAAACCTCCTAAGCACTGCTGTAACGGCATTTTAGGAGCAAATTACCTGGGGAGATACGCTATGAGAAACAGCTGATTTTCATCAATTAATGGATTAGAGGAAAGGTCTAATAACTTGACCGTCTGTAGAACATCCGCCGGCCTGTGTGGAAAATCAAAGTGTGTCAACATGAATTTAATCTGACTTGTCTTCAAAGATACATGGCTTTTAAAATACCTGCATTTGGTGTAAAGGAGGTGAAGGGAGCAGGAGGCAAGTGGACAGGACCGTGAAAGGGCAACAGGAGGGAGGGACCCTTGCAGTGCTGGAAATGTCCTCTATGTGGATGGACCAACCTCAGGATCCTGGCTGTGGTATCGCACCCATGGGAGAAAGTGGGTGATGGGTACAGGGGAGCTCTGGGCATTATTTCTTATAACTGCATGTGAACCTCAAATTATCCCCAAATAAACAGTTTCACTTAAAAACACCTGCATTCGCCTGTATAATAAGTCGTTCCATACAGTGAAGTCTCATTAGCTTGAATCCTTTCATTGGGAATGTATTATAAATTTGCCCACGTTTAATTTCACATAGTAATTTAATGATATCAACAAAAGAGGCAAGACAACATATTTAATTTACTCAAAGAAAATAAGCTTTTCCATAGACTCAGTACATCAATCTTACACACACAGTGCTACCTACCATGCAGGATTTGATCCGTAAAAAGCATTTCCTCTAGAACCTCCATTTAGAAACAGAAGTTAACTATATTTCTATGAAGCTACTAAAGTTCTGGTCTTCAAATATGTTTAATTCAAGGCTTACACTCCGATGGGCTGTGAGTAATTTGTGAGTAATAAGCATTTTCCCATTCTTATTTGCAAATCCTTAAAAAAAATAATGTTGGGGGGCACCTGGGTGGCTTAGTTAAGTGTCTGATTCCATTTCTGCTCAGGTCATGATCTCACGGTGTGTGGGATCAAGCCCCACATCAGGCTGTATGCTGACAGTGTGGAGCCCGCTTGGGATTCTCTCTCCCTCTTTCTCTGCCCCTTCCCCCCATACTCTCTCTCTCAAAATAAATAAATAAAATTGATGATGGGTATACTGCAGATCATGTGTTTATTCAGGATGACTGAATGGTGACACACGCGTGGATGTGAACCCTTGTTACCTTTCTGAAATGGAGATGTCGTTAGACTTGAGGTACAGCTCCTCCAGGACCGGCCACCCGGGGGCGCACCGCAGCACCTAGAAGGGAAACTCCGGTCAGGGCGAAACAGCCTCTACTGGTCCTTCCTGTGTGTTTACTACTGTACCTTCCCCATCAATTCAGTTCAGTTACTGTTTGGGAAACAAAGTGCCCTACGGACATTTCATCGCAGACTCTAATTCAGGCCAGGAGTGCTAGTGGACGGGCAGTAACACTTAAATGTTAAGAGCTGTGTTTTAAGGACACGGCCGCATAGACATGGAGCACTCTAAGCTACGAGCGGGCCATCCAGCGGCGTCCTGAACTGTACAAGTCTCCTGCGAAGTAGACTTGCAGACAGGACAGTTTGCTTAACCAAAAAAGGAAGGGACTTGAGGTCCCCACCTGTCCTCGATTCTCAATGCCAACCCGGGTTTGCGAAGAGGATGCTAATCGGACGGTACTTCGCAACCATGGTTTCTAAATTTCCCCACTTGCACTTCATCCCCAGCATCTCGATCTCCAAGTGCCCTTCCTGTTCTGATGCTCAATCTGAACCCACTCACTAGGAAGGAGCCCTAGGACACAGGCACACCAGGCAGAGGTGATTCGTCCCTAAGGGAGGCATGTCCCTCGGTGGCATTTCATAGACAAACCACCTGGCTGGGGATATACTTATCTGCACTTGGTTCGAAAAAGGAATATTCTGGGTGTGTGAGGTCAGTTAACCTCAAACAGAAAATAGTAGTGCCAGCTATAAATCCCAAACGCTGCCGGGTGAAGGACCCCCGAGTCCACTTTCGAGCCCAGCTGTATATGATGAACGGCGGCTTCCAAGAGCCAAACTGCAAACAAGAAAAGGATGCTAGAATCTTTCAGCAGCTGTGCCTCGGAGCACTTGCGGGAAAACCCAGCGAGCTAAAAGCCCAATCCACAGCTAACTTGAGAGCTTTCTAAGTTCAGCCTGTGTGAACTGCACAGCATTATGGAACGCCACCGTCTAGAACGATGGCAGAACAAAACAGAAGGAGCCGAGAGAGAGAACACCGATCCCAAGATAGAAAATTCTACCTCACTACAACAATTTTGTAACTCCTTTCTGTGAGGCAGTTTAAAGGATCCTATTATTCGGATAATATGATTAAAATGAAGGCACAGTTGTGCCTCAATTGCCTATTAAGCCAAGAATTTAAAATTTCTTATCTCTGGGTAATAAACTAAAGAAATATGATTACCTCAGCCCACGTTATTCCTGTTCGGTTAAGAACTAAAACCTTCAGTGCAGGAAATGTTCCAGCTAGAGATGGTGAAACCGAGGGAAAGTGTAGTTTATTCTCACTGTGTAGAAAAAGAAGACACAATGTGCTGAATGCTTGCTCTCCAGTAGGCCCGAGTGAAAGTCATAGAAAGCAACAATTTGGGATTTAATATGAGGCGTTGGGTTTGTTTCCACCTTAAAATGAAATTAAAGGTGCCTGGATGGCTCAGTCGGCTAAGCGTCCGACTAGGTTTTGGCTCAGGTCATGATCTCACGGTTCATGGGATCGAGCCCTACATTGGGCTCTGTGCTGAGTATGGAGCCTGCTTGGGATTCTCTCTCTTTCCCTGTTTCTCTGCACCCCGCCCCCTGCTCATGCTCTCTCAAAATAAACATTGTATTAAAAAATGGAATTAATTAAAAACCAAAGGAGTCCAGACTGTCAGTCTTACTGATAACGCTATACCTGAGGCTGTAATTTTGCATCTCCAGAGTCTCTAAACCCCTCTTTTCCATTAGGATGGATCAAATAAATCACCACCTTTTCAATTTTCTCTCATGATCCTCATCTCAGGACTCAATCCTGACGGTCTTTTTTTTTATTTACTTAAAAATTTTTTTTCAATGTTTATTTTTGAGAAACGGAGACAGCACGAGCAGTGAAGGGGCAGAAAGAGAGATGGGGCGCCTGGGTGGCGCAGTCGGTTAAGCGTCCGA